ACTTTTTTGCCCCTCCCCCTACCTCTTTTTTAAAATGATGCACACAAATGTGTATGGGCCTTTACATTTCATGTTTGGCCAAACTATTAAAAAAATAAGCAGTGAGTCACAGCGATTCATGCACATTTCCGTATGTTTTTCCTCTTTGGAAATACCTGCAAATACTTCTCCCCTTCAGTAGTAAGCCAGCAACACTTGTTTTCTTGCAGTTATTCTCTGGTGAACTACAGATCACCTCCTCTTCCCTTTTCTTCATACCATAAGGGGGTGTTCTGTAGTCCATCAGAAAAAAGTCAGGCAGGTCTGACAACACTGCTTGGGATTTCAGTCCACTAGAGGCAGCATTGTCAGCTTACACAAGAAGCTAGGAGATTGATGGATTTTTGGCAGAATTCCCAGTTATGTTTTCTGTACTTTCAACAATTTAAGACAAAAACTGGCACAATGTGCAATGCATTGCAGATATATGCTGCATTTATTTTGATTTATTTACTTTGACCAGCCATATACTTAAACAAAAAAGTAGTATGAAGGACTTAAAGAGTATGTCAACCCAAAATGTCATATTCCTGATATGTGCCTACTGCATTTACCATGCACTTGAAAAAGTATCCTGTTCTCTCTGCATTGCTTCCTCTTTGTGAAATCCCTGGTGTGCTTAGCAGTTCCTCTGCTTTCCTAGTAAAAACTGACCATACTAGGCAGGAGAGCATGGCATGGTCAGTTTTTTGGCTGTGCTGAATACTCAGCCTGCTCTCTTCCAATGATCAGGCTTCTGCTAACACACCCCCTAACCTCCCATGCGCAACCATTCACTGGGAAGACCAGTGTACTGCTGCTTCTCCTGCCCCAGTTCTGAAGTTCCTTATGCAGCCTGAGAACAGAGACTATGTGATCACTTATAAAAAAGGGGGAAATGTATTTTTAATGTTTTTTATATGTATACGCACGTTTGCCTTTTGTTTCTATTTTAAACTGAATGGCTTGTCTCACAAGGTGAGGATTCATATATACTTTAATAAATGTAATTTTGATAAGAACGACAAAACGTGCAGCGCTAATAATGATGCAAAGTTATGTAGGAGAAATAAATCAACAATGAATAATGACCAATGAAGTAAAATAAATAAATAAAATTAATATAGCAGAAGAAGGGTGACAAATAGTCATATACAGCAACTACAGGTGGATATATATATATATATATATATCTATATATAGATAGATATATATAAATATATGTGCAAACATCCGCAGGGATAACTAAATTAAGAAAGAAAGTCCCACAGTTTTAGACCGATGCTATTGCCTTGTGTGAATAGGAGAAATGCGCACTCACCGGACGTGCACTATTAATGTGCAGTGTATATATAATATCCTGGTGTCATCAGGTAGTCATATGGGTCAGCAGATGAAAAGCCCCCTCTCAGGATGGTTATGGTCCAGGGATGAAGGTATTAATGCTCCAGGAGTGTCCAGAGTTCCCCTTTAGGGATAGGTGGGTGCTGCTCTCAGATGTCAGGAGGCTCCCTCTCTGGATACGCTGGGTATTGGGGCATCTAGGAAAATAATAATCCTCCCCACATGGGGTCAGAACAAAAAGGTGCCCATAGTGTAGTAGGTAAAATGAAGTTTATTAAATAAATGAAATAAAACAGGTAGGATGCATCCAGATAAGAACATAGTAGAGAAGCGGTGAGAACAAACTGACCATCCCTGAAGGGAAATGGCCGCCGGAGCTCCACGATGCTCCGACGGTGTGACGTCAACGGCGCGAGCAGGCTCCTCCTTGCACGTTATGTGCCATGCACATCATCAGAGGGTGAGCCATCTGATGATGTGCATGGCACGTAACGTGTAAGTAAGGGGCCTGCTTGCGTCGTTGACGTCACGCCGTCGGAGCATCGTGGAGCTCCGGCGGCCATTTCCCTTCAGGGACGGTCAGTTTGTTCTCACCGATTCTCTACTATGTTCTTATCTGGATGCATCCTACCTGTTTTATTTCATTTATTTAATAAACTTCATTTTATCTACTACACTATGGGCACCTTTTTGTTCTGACCCCATGTGGGGAGGAGTATTATTTTCCTAGATGCCCCAATACCCAGTTTATCCAGAGAGGGATACTCCTGACATCTGAGAGCAGCACCCACCTATCCCTAAAAGGGAACTCTGGAAACTCCTGGAGCATTAATACCTTCATCCCTGGACTATAATCATCCCAAGAGGGGGCTTTTCATCTGCTGACCCAGATGAGTACCTGATGACACCAGGATATTATATATACACTGCACATTAATAGTGCACGTCCGGAGAATGCGCATTTCTCCTATTCACACAAGGCACTAGCATTGGTCTGAAACTGTGGGACTTTCTTTCTTAATTTAGTTATCCCTGCGGATGTTTGCACATATATATATATATATATATATATATATACACCTGTAGTTGCTGTATATGATTCTGGTATATTAATTTTATTTATTTTTTACTTCATTGGTCATTATTCATTGTTGATTTATTTCTCCTACATAACTTCGCATCATTATTAGCGCTGCACTTTTTATTGTTACTTTGATTAAGGATTTACATTGGTTGCCTTGAGTGTACAGCTGTTTATTTGAAAAGTGCTCACTTTTTATCCTACTTCTGCTAATTTTGATAATAGTTTTCTGCTTGCTTTAGTTTGCTTGCTATCCAGCACTAAATATTTGAATTATTCCACTGATATAGTACTGTTTCCAAGTCTTGCACACCTGTGCAGATCAGTAAACACGTAGTTGAAGATTTTCACATTTCATAATGATGGCAGCCCTTCTGATGTGTTCCCCTATAGACTGTATTGACAAGAAATGTCTTTATTTTATTTTAAACCAGTTGTAACAATTGTAATTTGTGTATTATGTAACAATTTTAATGTTCAGCATATGCCCACTACAAATGTTATCCTTTCATAAGGACTTGTGGGTGATTTTTTTTGTTTGCCTTTCAGCAAGAATGATGACCATGTGCTGAGCAAACCTGTGAGAAAACATCTCTTCATTGATCAAACTAGAGCCGCATGAAGTCTAAGGCTGCTGTGGGTTATTGTGCATTGCACAACATTATTGCTCTTGAAATTGTAATATTTATATCTATATATTGCAGACAAATACTGAACTGCTTTTTACAAAGTACTTGTATTTACGTTGGTTCTTGCTGCTAGAGGAGCTTACAATCCAATATTAAGTCATAAACGCACGAGTCAATTTTGAAAGCATGGGAGTATTTGTAGGAAAACTACACTAACAATGGGAAAACATGCAAACTCCATGCAGTTGTCCTGCTGAGGAGTAAAACTAGAACACCTGTGTTGCAAAGCAAAGGGGAATTTGGAAAATTGGGCAAATTCGAATAATCATATTTTTTCAGAGACTTGTAGAGTTGTTTTCTCCTACATATGTGCATCTGTCATTCTGGTCTACAGAGAATCACCTACTTTATAAAGCCATAAAATTAGGATCAGGAATAGCATGAGTCCCAGCACACAGACTGAATAAACATACATACACACCTTAACAAATCAGAAATGTGTGACTTCCTGAAAGAGATTTGTTCATCCCTAGTGCTAACAGGTTGACCAGCCTATTTGTGCTTTTTGTATGCCACTAGCAGACAATGCAGTCTGGAAGCTCTTGCTCAACAGTGAAACAAAAGCCACAGGTTAAGTCTGCACAGATGGTGTCTGGCTTGTTAAAGTGTTTGCAGCATGCACTGAGATCCTAGGCACACAACAAAAACTTACTGGCTTCTTTTGACATCTTGAGGCTGGATCTTCACAGCTCAGCAGAAGGATAAGTGAGCAGTCTAACTGGTACTGGGATGGAGTGTCAAACTGCTAGTGTGTGCAGTCTCCTTTTGCTGTAATGTGATCTATACACTTTAAAAGGATAGGAATCTATTTCCAGCATAGGCTTTAAAGTAGTTTCTAGAAGAGCAGATGCTATGAAACCCATTCCCTACTACAGCTAAAGAGATTAAGTACAAAGCTACAGCACTTACATATATTATATACACATATATATATATATATATATATATATATATATATATATATATATATATATATATAGTGCCTTGAAGAGGTATTCATACCCCTTGAAATTTTTCACATTTTGTCATGTTACAACCAAAAACATAAATGTATTTTATTGGGGTTTTATCTGATAGACCAAAACAAAGTGGAACTAAATTGTGAAGTGAAAGGAAAATGATAAATGGTTTTCAACATTGTTTACAAATAAATATGTGAAAAGTGTGGCGTGCATTTGTATTCAGCCCCCCTGAGTCTGCACTTTGTAGAACCACCTTTCGCTGCAATTACAGCTGCAAGATTTTTGGGGAATATCTCTATCAGCTTTGCACATCTAGAGAGTGACATGTTTGCCCAATCATCTTTGCAAAATAGCTCAAGCTCTGTCAGATTGGATGGAGAGAGCGTCTGTGAACAGCAATTTTCAAGTCTTGACACAGATTCTCAATTGGATTTAGGTCTGGACTGGACCATTCTAACACACGAATATGCTTTTATCTAAGCCATTCCATTGTAACTCTGGCTGTATATTTAGGGTCGTTGTCCTGCTGGAAGGTGAACCTCCTCCCCAGGCTCAAGTATTTTGCAGACTCTAACAGGTTTTCTTTTAAGATTGCCCGGTATTTGGCTCCATGCATCTTCCTATCAACTCTGACCAGCTTCCCTGTCCCTGCTGAAGAGAAGCAGCCTCACAACATGTTGCTGTCACCACCATGTTTGATGGTGGGGTTGGTGTGTTCAGGGCAGGGGCGGACTGACCATTTGGAAACTCGGGCACTGCCCGAGGGCCCAGGGTCAGTAGGGGGCCCCATGAGATGCACCTGGTACCTTTTTCATAGGCTTTTTTGAGTTTGGGCCAGGACACAGGGGCCCCATGATCCCCTATTGCCCAGGGGCCCCATGAGTAGTCAGTACGCCCCTGGTTCAGGGTGATGTGCAGTGTTAGTTTTCCACCACACATAGCATATTGCTTTTAGGCCAAAAAGTTCAATTTTGGTCTCATCTGACCAGAGCACCTTCTTCCACATATTTGCTGTGTCTCCACATGGCTTCATGCAAACTGCAAATGGGACGCCTTATGGTTTTTTTTTTTTTTCAACAATGCCTTTCTTCTTGCCACTCCTCCATAAAGGCCAGATTTGTAAAGTGCACAATTAATAATTGTCCTGTGGACAGATTCTCCCACCTGAGCTGTGGATCTCTGCAGCTCCTCCAGAGTTACCATGGACCTCTTGGCTGCTTCTCTGATTAATGCTCAGTTTAGGTGGACGGCCATGTCTTGGTAGGTTTGCAGTTGTGCCATACTCTTTCTATTTTTGGATGACGGATTGAACAGTGCTCCGTGAGATGTTCAAAGCTTGGGATATTTTTTTTATAACCTAAACCTGCTTTAAACTTCTCCATAACTTTATCCCTGACCTGTCTGATGTGTTCCTTGGCCTTCATGATGCTGTTCACTAATGTGATCTAACAAACCTTTTAGGGCTTCAAAGAACAGCTGTATTTATACTGAGATTAAGTTACACACAGGTGGAATCTATTTACTAATTAGATGACTTCTAAAGGCAATTGGTTCCACTAGATTTTAGTTAAGGGTATCAGAGTAAAGTGGGCTGAATACAAATCCATGCTACACCTTTAAGATAATTATTTATAAAAAAAATGTTGAAAACCATTTATCATTTTCCTTCCACTTCCCATTTATGTGCCACTTTGTGTTGGTCTATCACATAAAATCCCAATAAAATACATCTATGTTTTTGGTTGTAACATGACAAAATGTGGAAAATTGCAAGGGGTATGAATACTTTTTCAAGGCTATATATATATATATATATATATATATATATATATATATATATATATATATATAAATAATTTATTTTTCTGGAAAATGAACATCCCACACACAATCACACTTTTTTTTAAAATTAAGAAACATGTTGGTATTGAAGTGGTTAAAGAAAAAAAATTAAGGTGTTGTATTATTATTGGAAGAAAGTTAAGAATGTTCCCTGGAGAATAAAATTGCATGAAAATGGCTAGATGTCATGGATAAACCCGAAACATTTTACCCTTTCCCACCACAAAACAATCCTACAATTTTGGGAGGACAGTGGCACTTAAATACCCCAAAAGCAAACACAAAATCATTGATGATCAGTAGCTTTTTATAATCCCCACCCCCATCATTTATGGTTAGTGGCAGCTAAACACCCCCCCCCCCCCCCCATAAAACAATACCCATTTATTGGCTTCACTGATGCTAACTGGCACTTTAAATCCCCCTCCAAAGCAATCACACAACGTTGGTGGTCAGTGTCACTTAATTTCCTCCAACGAAAACCCAAAATCATTAATGGTTAGTAATAGTTTAAACCCCCGACCCCATCATTGGTGGTCAGTGGCACTTTAAATCCCCCCCCCCCCCCCAAAAAAACAGAACAATCCTACATTAGTGATCAGTAGTTCAATTCTGACATTCCACATGTAAAAAAACATTTTTATTTTGCTGGAAAACTATTTAGAACCCTCAATCATTATATAGTTTTAAGCAGAGGCCCTAAAGAATAAAATTGTGGTTGTTGCATATTTCTAAGTCACATGATATTTGCACAGCCGTTTTTCAAATGCAATTTAAAAAAAAAAACACTTTAAATTTTAATGCACAAAAACACAATATAATAATATTTTTTTTGTAGAATAAAAAATATGATATTATGCCAAGTAAATAGATACTAAATATGCCACACTTTAAAATTGCATACCCTCATGGAATGGCGCCAAACTACTGCACCTAAAAATCTCCATAAGGGATGCTTTAAATGCCTTTACAGGTTACCAGTTTAGAGTTACACAGGAGGTATGGAGGTAAAATGATTGCTTTCACTCTGACAGTTGTGGCGATATCTGTGAGGTGCAATCGAAGTTTACATATGCATGCGGGACAAATGTGTGCACTCACATTTGCGTACGAGCACAGGGGCACTTTAAAATTAAAAAATTTTTTAAAATTAAAAATTTTTTTTTTTGCACTGTCTTTTTGTAATCACTTTTACTGCTATCTCTTTTGGTGCAATGCTCTGCAGACTCCTTAGACAAAAAATGAATAAACGCACATTTTTTTTAACCTGCAAAATGAAGTGCATCTATTATATTTTTTCAAAAGGCGAACTTATCCCTTAGCCCAAGTTCACATATATGCGGTACATCGCATGTGATTTGCACAGGAACTGCACCGCATTCCTGTGCAAATCACATGCGAGTTGTGTGCGGTGCGATTGGAGCCATACATTTTGTATGGCTCTAATCGCACCGCACCTGCACCAAAAAGGTGCAGGACTCTTTTTGGGTCCGCACTAGAATCAGATCGCATGGGTATTCACACCTATGAGATTCAATTCTACACATTGCACCATGTTTTGCGGACTGCTTTCGGGGTGTTGTTAACGTAGTATACACACCTGCATCGGTTTGCATGAACGGGGTGTGATTTTGATGCGGTGCAGAATTCACACAGAAACCGGCGTGAATTCCGCACTGCATCAGTGTGAACCCAGGGCTTAAAGCTTGGAACTTTCCTGTGGATATTTGAAGGACACTTTTCTTTTTCTTGGCAACAATGTTGTATTACACTGTATCCGTTTACTTGATTTGTTTCACATATGAAGTAGAGTGTTATATTTTACTGTGGATTATGTTCCTTTGACACTATGTGTATCCTTTAAAGTTGTGTTGTTTAACCCTTTAATTGCAGTCACATTGGGACTGTTTCCAGTTTATTCATGCTATCAGGAGAAGAGTGGTGATTGCAAACTTTTCTTCGCACATTTTGACCGAATAGTCAGTGCTGTATTTATGGCTCATTCAATTCTATTTTTTTTTTAGGGGATAATTTAATATAGCAGCTCAATCACATAATTTTGGGATGCCTCAGGATTATGTTGGGGCAGCACATCCTATTCACAATATAGACTCAAAACCTTAAACAATGGACTTTTGAGGTGCCCCAGATAAAGCCACCACAACACACATTGAAAAATAGAGGGGATATATACCCTTAACCAGTTTTATTTCTACAAATAATTAAAACAAATTATCTACATAATTAAAGAATTTTAGCATAGAAGAAACTGCTTTACCAGCTCCCTTCCAATAATAATACATCATCCATCTATACTGTGACTCATTGGTGAATCATTGGTTTCAAACATGGGGTAACTAGTCCCTCCAGCGTGTAAAATGTATACTTCTTTATATATATTGTTATTCCTCTACGCGTTTTGCAATAATGGGCGCCTAATTTCCTCAGGAGGATTTTAGGTAGAGGGGTTGCCCAGGTTGCACCAGGTTAAAATAAAGGAAAAATTTAAAATAATGAAGCCACCAGATCTAAAGACTAGTAAACAAATTATTTTATACCCAGACTTTTCTGGCCTCCTGTGGTTCTGAACCCCACAGCAATCAGAAACTCTGTTATGTCTATAGTTACCCTTTTGCATGAAAGCAGTGGTCTCCAAACTGTGGCCCTTTGCTAACTTTTATCTGGCCCTTAAGCACTATTCCTCCCAATGACATGAGGCATTATTCCTCCCACTGACACCAACAGTGGGGCATAGTTCCTCCCACTGACACTAAGGATGGATATTTTCCTCCCACTATCAATGATGTGGCACTATTCCTTCCACTGTCAACAATAAAAGAGCACTGTTTCTTCCACTGACACCAATAGTGGGGCATAATATCTGCCACGAATGATGGGACATTACTCCTCCCACTAATATAAACGGTGGGGAACTATGCCTTCCACTGACACCAAAAATGGAGCACTACACTGACACCAACAATGCGGTGTTGTTTCTTCCACTGACACCAACAGTGTGGCATAATTCCTGCCACTGACACTAATGATAGGGCATTATTCCTCCCACTAATATCAATAATGGGGCACTATTCCTCCCATTGACACCAACAATCCGGCAGTGTTTCTTACACTGATACCAATGATGGGTTACTATTCCTCCCATGAACACCAGTGATAGAGCACTACTGACCACCAAATCTAAGGCCATATTTATTCCCACTAATGCTGGCCAAGGGATATTTTCTACCCTCACAGGCCACAATCTGGCCTACCAAAGTCTCCTGCATTAGAGGCTTTTATGGAGACTTTTTTTTTAGAGACATTAGTATTATTCACATTTGATATATCCTCTGCCCAATATTTATATATTTTGTAATGAAAATCACATGATCAGTGTGTATGCTGTAAACCATGTTAACCCTGCAAATTCAAGATACGAAAAGTAGGCAGGTAAACAATCTTCTTTAGTGTTGAGGTTAGTGGACAAAATGTTAGTTTCTTTTGTTTTTGATGGCCCAAAGATATCAGATACCTGTGCTTCCCACACTCTCAGGTTATCAAACATACTGAAATTCTTACTTTGCGATAAATGCTATCTACTGTTTTCCTATGGAACAGAACCATGCGGGTGACTATTACAAACATATCCAGTAAAAGATTGCCATTGCATGTGTTCCTGGAAATGGCTTATAAAAGGTGAGTGCTGTAGCAGCTGCTGGCTAAGAACCAGTATCAACACATGATTAAAGCATATATCGCCAGCATACTGTGGATCTTCAAAATAGTCTCCAAATGTTTATTACAGTGATCACACCCATACCCATAGTGGGGCCAAGAAACAATGGTGCACATCTTTTTTTTTATTCCTACTTAGACTCCTGGTTTTATTTAGCCAAATATAAAAAAATAATAATAATACAAAGCTTTTGGTGAAACAAAAACTGTAGATGCTGACTTTTAAAAAACAGCCACTCACCTGTCCTAGGATCCAGCCATGTCCTCACCTCAGCCGGGTTCACCGTGTCCCTGATGTTGGCATCTCAAGTGTGGGTAATGGCTGCGACAGCTTACGGCTTCACAGCCAGGTGCCCACTATGCATT